AACACGTGTAAAAACGACAAATGATAGAAAAATGATTAAATAATGAAATTTGACCAATCCTCAAGCAAATTATCAACCTTCTTGCCTGAAAAGTTCTTCCTTCTTTTCTTGCTTGGCTACCGTCTATGGAATTTTTCCTGCAAACAAGCCCTTCTCTTCCTTGACTGGTAGCAACTGTTACATCCCAGTCAATTTAATTATAATTGAACACGATTCACATAAGTACTAGTGTTTATCTCTCGGTCCCTATCTAATAGTTCCAATTTCGAGGACGAAATTCTTATTAGTGTGGAGGAAATGTAACACTGATTTTTTTTTTTTTTTTTTGGTTTAGGTTCAACTCAAAATTACACTTATGAATATGGTAAATGATTAATTACAAGAACTGAAACCCAAAAGTTGAACCCAAAGTACGTGGCACAATCAACCCAATTGGCAAGGACTCATTTTCCTTTTGACGCAAAGGCCTTACGACGTCCTCAGGTTTGAGATTGCTTGAAGCGAAAATGTTAGATTAGTTACCTCCCGTACAAGACTTCTTTTACGATAATTGTAGTAACCCACCATGACGCAACATTAATTGTCAAGACAATCGACTGCATCCCATTATAACCATGAGCTGGCAGCTTATTAAGTTATGGGTTGACAACTGTGAGACACAGTGTCGGTGCTCCATAGCTTAAATGATATCCTCCTCCTCCCTTTTGGTGTAACACACCATTTCTTCTTCAGCCGCACACCATCTCCATGAGGCATGCATCTCATCTCTCACACCTCTCTCAATACTAGCACATTAGCCCCTTACCCTGTTATCATTCCATCATCATCAACGTGTCCATCCACTCCTTCCATGTTCATTTCACCAAAGCAACACAATCGCCAAAAAGCTTCTCGACGTCGTCATTATCGTCATTGTCGGGTAATGACCTCGTAACTAGCAGCTACCTCGTCGCCTGTCACGCACGCACTCTCCCGATACCAGTAGCTTCGACGACGAAAGTACGAGGCTATCAAAGGATGGTCTAAGCGATAAACAAAGGTTAAACAGCCCGTACCTAGCCCTAGGATCGCCTTGAAGGTAAGATCTCATCCCAATCGATCTCCTAGTTGATTTCGATCAAAGCTAACACCAACACATGAATATAATGGTTGTAGCTTCGACAGCGGCTCCGGCAGGATCGACTTCAACCATACTTTGAAACGTGGGTACGGTTTCAAAGAGGAAGGTCCCAGGATCGTCACCATCTTGACGAAATTGAATTCCGACGTCAAACGAGGGTTTCCGATTGGAACGAAGACCCATCAGTTCAGGTACCATTTCAGCTAATTCGAAAAGTATGAGGATACGTTTGCAATTGTGTTTGGGAAATAACCAGATCGGTACCTCAAGAATTCAGTGCGAGCAGCTTACTCCCAATATTTTAAGTTTTGACAATTTGGCCCAAAAATCATATTTTTCATGGTTATGGTTATTTTCCAACTCTTCCTAGTGGGCATTTTCATAACCTGGTAATTTTAGAACTTAGAAGTAATTCTTAGGATGCTCTTTTATAAATGTTAGAATTTTGGATCTGTATTTGTAGTTTTAAAAATTGAATGAATGTTGGTTTGCATTAAATAAAATATTGTACGAAGTTGTTTTGGGGATTTAAAAATTTTCCATGAAACTAGGATTATGTATGGATGTTATAAAATTATGGGTCAGAATTACATACATTCTTAACTTGGTCGTAAAATTATTCTATGGTAAACTTTAATAGGAAAAGGGATTTTCAACGTTTGATTTATGGTTAACAATTTTGATTAATGATTTTAGTTACCCAAAGTCAGAATTTGGAATTTTTTTTAAGTGGAAAATATATTATAATAAATTTTATGAGGATTTTGAGAAGTTTATTGAAAGGGTTATTGATTTTATTGATACAAATTAATTATTGGAAATGTTGGAAAAATATCTTGTTTGAGGAAATTATTTTAAAGAGATTAAGGTCCTTTTAAAAGGATTTTGGGACTAAGCAATTAAGGAGAGAAATCTCCTAGTACGTTAAATGAACTAAGTTGAGGAATACCGACTAAGGGAATACATTTTAGGTTAATAGGATTAAAGAAGCAATCGGGTTAAGGGACTCCGCGTCCACAGAATTAAAGTATCGACACTTGAGAGGTAAGTGTAAAGGGGGTAAAATCTACGCCTCACATATTTTCAAGTATTTACCTTACGGTAATTACGTTTGAGATTTGCTGCTATGTGTCATATATGCTTATGTATGTTTACGTGATGCATGATATTACATGTAAGTTATGTTTTTAGTTATAAAGTTGATGACATGTATTTAATTACTAGTAAGTTACTTTTAAGGAGTATTTCACCTTTAAGGAAGGTGAAAAGTTTTACGAGTTTTTAGCCGCTAGCGCCAGTCCGTTGCCCATATGAGATTTTAAGATGAGCAGCAGTTATGCTCTTGAGAATCAGGGTGAAGAGCCACCACGATAAGTATAAGATGTTAGGGGGGATGATCGTTACAACTCCCATAACTAAGTTTAAGTTTAAGGAAGCCTGTATGCTGGATGGGCTCTCATACGTATGAGTTGGGCAACCGGACTAGCTAGTGGAGGATCCCAGTGTCGGTCAAATTTTTAAGGTTTTGAGAGTGGGATTAAGAGTAAATCCCACGTTTTAAGAGTTAAAGTTTAAAGGGCGAAAGTATAATCAACTTCCACTAATTTATTGTTTGATGAACACTTAAGGTAATAATCCATAAGTGTTTCAAGTTTAAGTAATGGCGTAGACTGACCCCAACTCACTCACTAAATCGTAGAGGAGGAGATCAAGATCAGATAGTTTGTGGACAATAGGTTAGAGGGGCTCAACATCAGTGTCGTTAAAGAATGGAGGACCGAGCATCAGAGTAGCGTCGGGGAAAACATTTAAGTTATTTGGACTTTGTGGTTGAAAGTTAAGAACTAGTGATTCTGGTCTTTTGTTTCTTTTAAGAATATGATTTGGGGTTTTGCCCACATGTTTAGGGCTTGTCATTGAGATTTCCAATTATTAAAGTTTGGTGTATTTATTTTAAGTATATATAATTTTTAAATATAACCGGGGTAGAAATGTCTTATACATGTTTCAAAAAGGTGGGATGTAACATTTTGGTATTAGAGCCGGTCTTCCTCTATTTCTTGGCTCCTAAGAAATACTGGAATATCGGTCTTAGTTTTAATAATTTTGTTAAAGAAAGGAAAGTGAGTTTTAAGTTAAAGGTTTGGCCAAACGAGTCAAGAATTTTATTTTAAGAGTCTATAGAATCTCCAGTCTACTCTCAACCATTTTAAGAAAGATATAACTGAGTTCTAACAAGATCGTATGTGTCTACAGAGTAAGTGTTGGCCAGAATCCCGCCCCGCTTGTGGCACAACAAGTGAGACCTCCACCGGATTACATTGCTTTCCGGAAAAGAAAGGTGGAGGATTTTAAGGGGGACTGTTCAACGGACCCCATGGAGGTTGAGCAGTGGCTAGCTAAGGTCACTCGTACCCTGATTGAGATGAGGGATGATGACGAGGACAGGGTACTGCTGACAGTATCTTTACTACAAGACACTACTTACAATTGGTGGATTAACCAGCCAGCTATCCGAGAGGAGCCACCGGCCATCACCTGGCCAGAGTTCGTGTAGCTATTTCGAGACCACTTTGTACCAGAAACCTATCGGATCGCCAAGCAGAGGGAATTCTTGCTAATAAGGCAGAGGTGGGGCAACGAAGGAAGAGAAAGCTTGGCTGACTACACGGCGAGATTTGACAAGCTACTTGCCTATGGAGGACCTCAATTTCAGGATGCACATGCACAACACATCCACTACCTGGAAAGCCCGAAGCCTCCTTTTAGGCGTCAGCTGAGTATGCTGAATTGGAACAATAGAGAGGAGATCTATCAAGCAGCCTCCGGTTGGAGAGGGCAGATACAGCCCTGCACGAGGAGGGGATGCAAAGAGAAGGGAACAAGAGAAATGCTACCAGCTTTTCCGAGGGGCCAAACCAGCTGAGTCATCCGAGGAGGACGCCGAGCCAGGGCTACTATGGGGTCACTGTTAGAAACAAAGTTTCTAACGGGTTTCTAGATCAGATCTATAGATTGGGAATTTAGGGTTTATAGAATAAAATTGGTGATTTAGGGATTTGAGGAGAATTTGGGGAAGAATAGAAGAGAATCGGCCTAAGGGTTTAGAGGGATTGAGGTCAAGAATTGAGAGGATAGGGAGAGGGATTAAGGAGATAATTCTTTTATTATTTTCTGCTTAATATGATCAATGACCCAAAGTACATATATATAGGGAAATACTTGAAAACCCTAAGAATAAACATAATTCTACTAGAAGACTACTAACCATAATAAGAATTACCCTAATAATGATTATAATAATAAATATTGAAACCCAATATACTTCAGTTTCTAACATCTCCTCCCCCTTCAGACCAACCTTGCCCTCAAGGTTGTTCCACTTGACCCACTCCTCCTTCCTTCTCACTCAATGTGCACGCTGACTATTCCATTTCTTGTGCTTCCGTTTTTTCCAATCGTGCTCCAACTTCGATATTGGGCTTCTTCCACCAACCTTTTTGGGTTGGTCCTTTTCTTCGACCTTCCCTTGCATGGGCTCAGTATTCGCTACCCTGACACATTCGAACTTTGCCAGCTCCGCTTTGGTTGGCCTCATAATTCCACAACTCAACCAACCCAATGATTCGTTCATGTCCAAGAACCCATCTTTGAGTACCATTTCCCCAAGACCTTCATACATTTTTCTTGGAACAAGCCCATAACTCTGAATTGTTGCTTCTTCCATTAATTTTGAGTTATGCTCTCTTGAATACCCACCGTATATTTCTCACAGTGGCAGCCCATCTCCTTGTTTATTTAAATCCAGCCCATTCAACCATAATCCAAGAAGATAGCCCATTTCGGGTCCAAACCTTCCTTGTGAACTCGACCCATTATTATTTTGGAACTCTTTTAATTCCCACTTCAGCTTGGGTTGCGGCCCAAGATCCACTCGGTCTGGCCCGCTTGGTGTGTCCAACATAGCTCGACCCAAAGAGACTTCTTCCTTGTCTTGTTCCGAATTTCCAAGCCCCATGAAGACCATCCGTCTCCAGTGAACAGGCCTGCCATCGACGGATTGGCTCAAAGACAGCCTCCCTTGCATTTCCTCTCGGCCCATCAAAAGCCCAGCTTCCGTGCGTTGCAGGTCCACTTCCCGTGACCTAGGGTTAGCCTACGAAAGGAAAACGACGCCCTCTTCTTCGGTCGCCGTCTGCTCAGGTTCTTCTTCTGGCGGCGAATCGCCAAGCCGACTACGCGGAGACCAGCACACTCCTCGCCCCCACTCCTGCACTGTCTTCTCGATGGTCGACGCGGCCACAATGGTCGCCGTCAACTTCTTTGACGGAAACCGCTTCGCCCCATTCTCCGGCGAGTGCTCCGCTTCTTTCTTCTCATCGATCGCCGTACCCGTTGGATTCCTCGCCTACTGCGATGCCCCGTAACCGCTTCGTGTTGCTGGCAGAGAAACCCGGCGAGCCTGCCTTGCCTTCCTTGCCTCCTAACCCGTGGCGGTCCGAATCATAGGCTTCTTCTCCAACTCGTTTCGTCCGGCGGTTGTGGTGCCGAGCTCCGCCAGCAACGAGCGAATTTCCCGACCTCGTGCGACGATCCTGTTCGTTGCGGCATTTAACTCGGCGTCGATCAACGCCAACTCCTCTTTGCGTCGAGAGATGGTGACGCGAGGCTCAGGTGAGCTCAATCGAGACTCCCCGATGCTGGCCGTTTGGATTTCGGCCGTTGCAGCGGTCGGGTTGGCCTCACCGAGCCCAACTGGTGGCTCCAAGTACCTTCTCGAACTTGGCAACGACTCCAAGAACGGCTGCAGCTGCTCACTTCGTGCCTTTTTCTTGAACTTCCAGTTGACTACGCCTAGCTTCTGGCCTGATCGCAGCTCCACGGTAGGATTGGCGACGAACGGTGGTGCACCTGCTAGTGTGGAAAGATGATCGAATTGGGAGGTGGCCACAAGAAGCAGCTGTTGTGCGCGAGGAATCTCTGTTTTGTGGGCTTCAAGTGTTGCGGAAGCTACGAGCTTTGTTTTGAGACTCGCCGGCATGTTCTCAACCTGTGGTGGAGCTTCGTTTGCTGCCTTCTCGTTCTCTGACGCTCCACACACCTTTTTTATATTTCCAATTCTGATGATAGCCTCGTTCCCTAACTGAACGATTGGTTGTTGGTTCTGGCTCCGCGTTGCAACTTGAGGTTCTTCGGAATTGATTTCGCTCTTGTTGTCGGGAACCTTGGCGGCAGTGACAAGGCCCCCTTCTTCCTTCGCCTGAGCAACGATGTCCCTCTTTATCGCGACCACCGTCGCCGACAACGGCTGAATTTTGGCTGACTTCTCCCGCCTTGGCGCGATGGTGGCGGTGGTGTCTGTTGTTAGCGGCTCTTCGATCGCCGAAAGCTCTGGTTGCTCTTTTTGCACCATGTTGTCCTCATCCGAGTCACCCCGCGCCATCAGATGCTGCTTTGCTGTTGCCTCTTCATCGTCCGTGTCGGTTATTGCAGGTGCAATGATTTTGGGGATTTTGATGATGAAATCGCTTTTCCCAAAACCAGCACGATATTCGGCAATGTTGTATATAGCTCTGAACCGAATAAGCTTCTTGAACCGGATCCATCTGTGTCCATCAGCCAATGGTCGTTGACCCGTTATGGCTAGTACATCAGATCCAATCCTCTGCACTTCCACGTGCTCCTTCTCGAACCCAGGTAAAGAGAAGAACACGATAATGCGATGTCGTAGATCCCACCTCATGACGTCGGGTTTGATGTCCTCATATATCCATTCGTCCCCGATTGAGAGTTCTGACGAACTCAGATCTTCGACCATGGCTCTGATACCAAATGTTAGAAACAAAGTTTCTAACGGGTTTCTATATTAGATCTAGAGATTGGGAATTTAGGGTTTATAGAATAGAATTGGTGATTTAGGGATTTGAGGAGAATTTGGGGAAGAATAGAAGAGAATCGGCCTAAGCCTTTAGTGGGATTGAGGTCAAGAATTGAGAGGATAGGGAGAGGGATTAAGGAGATAATTCATTTATTATTTTCTGCTTAATATGATCAATGACCCAAAGTACATATATATAGGGAAATACTAGAAAACCTAAGAATAAACCTAATTCTACTAGAAGACTACTAACCATAATAAGAATTACCCTAATAATGATTATAATAATAAATATTGAAACCCAATATACTTCGGTTTCTAACAGTCACTCAAAGCCATGTCGGCTCAACCCCATCAGGGCCGACCTATATTCACCGGGACCCATGTAACAAGTGTGGGAGAACTCACCCGAGAGTGTGTAAGGTACATATGGGAGGCATATGCTATCACTGAAATGAGCCGGGCCACTATGCTAGAGATTGCCCTAGGAAAGGAGGGCAAGGGAGAGCTTAGTCTGAACAATCAGTCCGGGGCGGAAGAGGAAGAACCCAGACTGGACAGCAGTTTGGTAACCATCCAAACAAGACTACAACAAATTCGGCCTATTAGGGAAAATTTTTTATTTTGTCATTTTCTGTTTGTCACGATAGGTACGGTGATATGAAAAAAATAATATATGTCCTATTTGGTATGCCTAATGTGACAAAATTACTGTTGTCAGAATAAGTCGTCATTTAAAGTGAATAACGTGACAAATATTTCATGTCACAATTAATTTTGTCAAAATAGGCGTCCCAAATCGGGATGTAAGAGACTCAACAGTGACAAATTTCTTGTTGTTAGAATATTTCGTCATTTAAAGTGAGTATGTGACAAATACTTCGTGTCACAATTAAGTTTGCCAAATTATGCATTCCTGAATTGTTTAAATGACAAAGTATTTTGTCACAATAGATAGCAATAAACTCACAGCGAGATGACAAAAGGGTATGTTCATCATAATATAGTGGTTTCGACTTTGACAAAGGGCATGTTCGTCATAATATAGTAGTTTCATTTTTGACAAAAGTCATTTTCGTCATTTTTCCTTGTGTCAGACTGAAACCTCGTGTGAGACTGAAACCAATCAGCCTTGCCGACACATTTTATCTTGAACTGACACAAATCCCATTCCCCACCCAAAATTTGACCATACCCCGCCCAAATTACAACCATGTCCCGCCCAAAAATATTCCCCAAGCTCGCCCACATTTCCCCTTGCAATTGAAAAATTCAAATCACCCACCCACCTGCCGCTAATAGACATTTAATTTATAAATCACTCATCCCAATCTATCTCCTAGTTGATTTCGATCAAAGCTAACACCAACACATGAATATAATGGTCATAGCTTCGACGACGGCTCTGGCAGGATCGACTTCAACCATACTTTGAAACGTGGGTACGATTTCAGGAAGGTCCTAAGATCGTCACCATCTTGACGAAATTGAATTCCGACGTCGAACGAGGGTTTCCAATTGGAACGACAACCCATCAGTTCAGGTACCATTTCAGCTAATTCGAAAAGTATGAGGATACCTTTGCAATTGTGTTTGGAAAATAACCAGATTGGTCCCTCAAGCATTCAGTGCGAGCAGCTTAGTCCCAATATTTTAAGTTTTGACAATTTGGCCCAAAAATCATATTTTCATGGTTATGGTTATTTTCCGACGCTTCCTAGTGGGCATTTTCATAACCTGGTAATTTTAGAAGTTAGAATTAATTCTTAGAATGCTCTTATATAAATGTTAGAATTTTTGGATTTGTGTTTCTAGTTTTAAAAATTGAATGAATGTTGGTTTGCATTAAATAAAATACTATACGAAGTTGTTTTGGAGATTTGATAACTTTCCATGTAACTAGGATTATGTATGGATTTTATAAAATTATGGGTCAGAATTACATACGTTCATAACTTGGTCGTAAAATTATTCTATGGTAAACTTTAATAGGAAAAGGGATTTTCAACGTATGATTTATGGTTAACAATTTTGATTAATGATTTGAGTTACCCAAGGTTAGAATTTTTAATTTTTTTAAGTGGAAAATATATTGTAATAAATTTTATGAGGATTTTGAGAAGTTTATTCAAAGGGTTATTGATTTTATTTATACAAATTAAGTATCGGAAATGTTGGAAAAATATCTTGTTTGAGGAAATTATGTTAAAGAGATTAAGGGCCTTTTAAAAGGATTTTGTGACTAAGCAATTAAGGATAGAAATCTCCTAGTACGTTAAATGAACTAAGTTGAGGAATACCGACTAAGGGAATACATTTTCGGTTAATAGGATTAAAGAAGCAATCGGGTTAAGGGACTCCGCGTCCAAAGAATTAAAGTATCTGCACTTGAGAGGTGAGTGTAAAGGAGGTAAAATCTACGCCTTACATATTTTCAAGTATTTACCTTATGGTAATTACGTTTGAAATTGCTGCTATGTGTCATATATGCTTATGTATGTTTACGTGATGCATGATATTACATGTAAGTTATGTTTTCAGTTATAAAGTTGATGACATGTATTTAATTACTAGTAAGTTACTTTTAAGGAGTATTTCACCTTCAAGGAAGGTGAAAAGTTTTAGGATTTTTTAGCCGCTAGCCCCAGTCCGTTGCCCATATGAGATTTTAAGATGAGCAGCAATTATGCTCTTGAGAATCATGGTGAAGAGCCACCACTATAACTATAAGATGTTAGGGGGGATGATCTTTACGACTCCCCTTACTAAGTTTAAGTTTAAGGAAGCCTGGATGGGCTCTCATACGTATGAGTTGGGCAACCGGACAAGCTAGTGGGGGATCCCAGTGTCAGTCAAAGTTTTGAAGTTTTGAGAGTGGGGTTAAGAGTAAATCCCACGTTTTAAGAGTTAAAGTTTAAAAGGGCGAAAGTATAATCAACTTCCATTAATTTTTGTTTGAGGAACACTTAAGGTAATAATCCGTAAGTGTTTCAAGTTTAAGTAATGGCGTAGACTGACCCCAACTCACTCACCAGATCGTAGAGGAGGAGATCAAGATCAGATAGTTCGTGGACAACAGGTTAGAGGGGCTCAACATCAGTGTCGTTAAAGAATGGCGGACCAAGCATCAGAGTAAGCGTTGGGGAAAACTTTTAATCTATTTGGACTTTGTGGTTGAAAGTTAAGGACTGGAGATTCTGGTCGTTTGTTTCTTTAAAGAATATGATTTGGGGTTTTGTCCACACGTTTAGGGCTTGTCATTGAGATTTCAAATTATTAAAGTTTGGTGTATTTATTTTAAGTGTGTTTATGTATAATTTTTAAATATGCCCCGGGGTAGAAATGTCTTTTACATGTTTCAAAAAGGTGGGATGTAACAACAGCTCCCACTAAAGCTATTGCTTCTTACACTAGCTAGGCGAACTCCCGCTCTGTCCCTTCACCCTTCTACCTAACACTCGGGGTATTCACTCCTCTCTCAAAGTTCGAGTGGCATTCACTCCTCTCACTTCGTTTCTAACCCCTACCCATCCCCCCTAAGTGTTTTTAGCATGAGGGACAAGCGTCGAATGCTTCATTAGCAGTGATCTAAGTGGTGGAGCTAAACATGGTAAACATGCCCCCTTTTTCTGGTAAAATCCGGCAAAAAACATATTTTTTTCTTAGTCAAGCTATGTAGAATCCTACCCACCATGGATCTTCTTTCCCTGGTGTAGGGCAAGCACTGTAGATAATAGTAATAGAACTCTGTGCAAAGTTTCCCCCCGTTGGACGATTTGCTATTAATATGTTGAGATCTTCTAGCGATTTACATTGCATAAAATGATCTGTCTTTCTACTTTTCTCTATTTATGAGTGGACACCCCATTCTTCTTAAAAAACAAGTTATTTCCTTAGTTTTCTATCAGATGACAGAGATCCAGTAATTCCATAGAAATCTAAATAAGTATGTTCAATTTCTTCCATTAATCCCAGATATTCTGGTTGTTCTCTAGCGAGGAAGAGGAAAGTGGGTATGCGGGCTTCTTTCGCTTGACTTTTACTCAAGCCTCTGTCTTTTCTCGTTTTGCTAATCCTCCCTTCTAATGCGAGCAGTGCACTTTCTTTCCCTTATTAGTAAAGGGGCGTGGGAGGAACCCAAGAGGAGACTCTATTCTCAGTATTCAGCCAATCACTTAGACTGGCTTGAGCTAAGTGGTATGGTAAGGCCTTTGAGTCAGTTTCATATGTTGGGGGTTATTCTAGCATTCATAAAAGGAGATAATTTCAGCATGAAATGAATAAGGAGAATCGGAGACCAACATTCAATTCGAGATTATCCTGCGCTACCAATCCGATGCGATAAGGAGTAACATACATAGGGCGGCCGAATCACTTGTATCCTCTACGGAATAAGTTCCCCTTCAAATTCTATGGGAATTAATCCCATGGCTTCTTACATTTTGGGTTTTTTATTTCATTTGGGAACAAGTCCAAGAAAGCACTTTTTCCTACCAAATACTATCTAACCCTGCCTGCTTCTTCCATTCGCTGAACTCTGAGCTCCTCTAGCAAATCACATTGAGATTTCCTCCGGGTTTCTGCTTCATTCAAGTCTTAATTCAAGTAAGGACAAGTCCATATCATCCCAATCAAGATAGATGGCCTGCCTCGCTGCGGCTAGCACCTCCTTCACTTTCGGTTCTTCAGAAGAATCAACAGACTTCTCCCTTCTTCATTGATTCGGGGGAAAAGTAACCGTCTACCAATTGGGAAGATAGACCATTTGAACCTGGCCTAAACTACTAGTTGGTACTCAAAGGGTTGCTTTCTATCGCTCGAGCTACTTATTGATAGACGTGAGGGTGGGACGGGAAGGGGTCTCGGCTGACTACGCCATCACTCGAGGGTCCAGGCTCAAATTCCCTGCAACTGCAAGGTTTAGTCATACATGAAAAAGAATCAATTGCTCAAAACTTACCATTCGGATTATATTATATGTCGTTCACTCCCTCTTTCTTAATTTGATCTATTAGGGGTTGGCCTAGCTACCCCAATAGTCCAAAGTCTTCCTTTCCCCTGCCCAACTCCTTGAAGTCGACCGAGAATCCTGCTCCTCTCCTTTAGAGTCATTTGCCATGGCAGTTTCAAAGCAACTGAGATCAAAGCTTCACAAAGATCTGCAGTTGTATACGCTCTTTCTTCCTAGTTTTATAGGCAAGAACGAATTCGGAACGAATCGAGTTTCATTTCGTAAAGGACATTCTACCGGGCATGGGAACTAGCAGTTCTTCTTGCTCCTTTCTATCCCAATCTTAGGCAGTCCGTAGGGCACTCCTCTTGTTCATGGTTAGCTTTGAAGGAAGTTCTAAGAGAGGCTTCTCTGAGCTAGTGGCATCGAGAATGATTTGGTCACTGATCTGGTTGCCTGGAGTGGAGTTCCTCGTCAAAGTATGGCGAAGAATGAACCTAGACTCTATTTTTTTTTATAGATTTTCTCTGGGTTTCTGCTTTATTCAAGTCTTAATTCAAGTAAGGACAAGTTCTTATCATCCCGATCGGGATAGATGGCCTGCCTCGCTGCGGGTCAGCACCTCAGGCTCCTCCTAATCTGGCGAGTGCTCCCGTATCGTATATAAGAGAAGAGTTGTTTTTAGGAGTGATCCTTCTCTGACACTAGAAATTGAATAAGATTAGAAAGTTGGAAGAGAAGTGAGCTTGTCTGTATCCACAACAAAAGGAAGTCGAAGGAATTAATGTAGTTGCTTCTACTTTCATCGAGATTGGTTTGGTGTTCACTCTACCTGAAAAGATCGAAAAGAATGCATTGGATGAATGCATGGGCATTGAGAAGGAAGGGACTGGAATGATTATCCCTGCCCGATGGGTGTATATCCATCCCTCAATGTCGTCGGGTACTGTTTACTTCCCCGCCATTCTTGTAACCGTCACCTGTAATCCGTAGGGCACTCCTCTTGTTCTTGGTTAGCTTTGAAGGAAATTCTGAGTGAGGCCTCTCTGAGCTAGTGGCATCGAGAATGATTTGGTCACTTATCTGGTTGCCTGGAGTGGAGTTCCTTGTCAAAGTATGGCGAAGAATGAACAGAAACACTGTTTTTTTCTAGATTTCCTCCGGGTTTCTGCTTCATTCAAGTCTTAATTCAAGAAGGACAAGTCCTTATCATCCCAATCGGGATAGATGGCCTGCCTCGCATCGGGTCAGCGCCTCAGGCTCCTCCTAATCTGGCGAGTGCTCCCGTATCGTATATAAGAGAAGAGTTGTTTTTAGGAGTGATCCTTCTCTGACACTAGAAATTGAATAAGATTAGAATGTTGGAAGCGAACTAAGCTCGTCTGTATCCACAACAAAAGGAAGTCGAAGGAATTAATGTAGTTGCTTCTACTTTCATCGAGATTGGCTTGGTGTTCACTCTACCTGAAAAGATCAAAAAGAATGCATTGGATGGATGCCCGGGCATTGAGAAGGAAGGGACCAGAATGATTATCCCTGCCCGATGGGTGTACATCCATCCCTCAATATCGTCGGGTACTATTTACTTCCCCGTCATTCTTGTAACCGTCACCTGTAATCCACGCAGGTGTTTCGCACCCCCTTGAGTGGACGAGAAAGAAAGGATTTTTCAGAGCAACCAATTCCCATGAGTCAACTGTCTCGTATGAGAAGTGAGTTTTTATACTACCTCGTTCACAGGTGGGTGAGAGGCTTCAACTTGCTTACCATATGTGGAAAAGTCCTAGCCTTCGATGACTTCCTTATGAGAACATAAATTTATATTTGGGTATAGACGGTATCTCTTTATTCTTCGTGATATTGACCATATTTTTTATCCCTATTTGCCTCCTCTCACAAAGTTCCAGTATATTCATTCCTCGCCTTTCGCCCTTCGGTTGAACATATTCTAAACCTTCCACCCCACTCGACTAAAGAGAATGTTGACTGATCTCACTAATAGGGTGGATTTTCTTTTTCCCATGTGAATTGCAGTAGAAGAATTCGGAGTGCTCTTTTTTTATGTGACGTTAATGCCATCTTGGAAGTGATTCACTAAGTCGGGTTTTCCAGCGGCCACCTATTGTATTGTAGAATCGTCAGTTTCTTTTGAAGAAACGATGAAGTTATATTGTTCTCCTTATTAAAAGATAGCTAGTAACTTCTTATTAAAAGGTAGATAGGGTTCGGGCACTTCCTCATTCGAGTATATTCGTTCCTCTCACAAAGTTCCTCGAATGAAAGGATAGGAACGAATATACTCAAACAAAGTGTGAGGTTATCAATATGCTCGACTAAAAAGATAGGGGGGAATTCGGTATGCGAGGTCTCGCGCCGGACATGTGCTAAATGTTGATTAGCCTTTTCCAAGGATACTGCTACATCCGCTAAACCTTACCCAACTGAGCGTGATTGCACATGCTCTTCATATGGAGGGAGGGCGGAGGATTTAGAAAAGTAAGGGTCACCCGTTTTAGCCCGGAAATATGGAAAGAGTCATTATATTATACTTATCCTGATAAATTATATCAAATCTCATGTAAATAACATATAACATTACACCAAAGTAACATGTCGTACTTAGATCCAACATATAGTGAAAATTCACACACACTTATATAACATCAATATTCAAATATTCAATTAAGGATTTCAAATATTGAGTTAGGGAAAAAGAAAAATCAGAAAATATGTGCATTTCATAAACCAAAGAAAAAATGACACAATTTGACCTCCAACCTGATATCTTGTAGCGGTCTATCCGGACCTTGTGCAGAAGCAAAAAATAAATGGTCCATTTAATGTTTTCTTTACACCAACTATGAGAAAATCCTGCTCAATGTAGTAATAGCTAGGAAAATATGACAGCATGAGTTATCCTATTTAAATTATTAAAATTATTAAATTATTAAAATTTCCGCATGAGTTATCCATATCATGTTCAAACTATATCAGCAATTAGATCTATTTAAATTATTAATATTTTATTTTATTTGTGTATGGACAACTCGTACAACCGGTTGTATGTGAACTTTTTTAGAATTCTCTTATCCTTCTCCTCTCCACGAAGATCCGAAACCTTCTTCTCACCGCTGACATCCATTGTTCCTTCAACCCTCTTCCTTCGATCTCGTCGCTGCCATTGCTTTTCCCTATTCAACTACGGCGAGCCAGATTCTGACGGCGACAGTGAAGGCGGTGAGCAGGGGGTGACGACGTGAAGAAGAAGCTCGTCGATTGCAACATCTCTTCGACTACGGCGAGCCGGATTCCGACGACGACAGTGAAGGTGGCGAGCAGGGGACGACGATAGCGAGCATCTCTTCGTCGATTGTGTTTCGCGGAAAAGGCGATTGCAGCACCTCATCTCCGCATTACCTCTCCCTATTCCCCTGCACAGAACCCCCTCTTCCCATCGATAGCAAACGGAGACTGTTTACCTACCTCCTCCCCCGCAGCATTTTCGATTAGTATGCCTATCAGTTCTACAATTTTATTCATTTTTTCGGTTAATATGCCTATAAGTTTAGGGATTATGTTGAAAGTTCTAGATTTACAAATTTCGGTAGGGGGGATTAAATTCCATGCTGGTTTTAGGTTTATGAGTTTAATTGGTCATGTCTTTTTACCAGGTCGATGTCCTTGTACTATCGTCTTTGTGTTTAGCTTGATATTAGCTATATTTACTGATTTAGTGTCAAAGCAAACTATCAATTTTCATATGGGACCTGCTTGTTGATGTCCTCGTATTGGTTTAATTGTGGACCTCATAGATGTAGGTCGATGTTGATCGAAATCCTTCTGAAAGCCATTACAGTTCATCTTGTAGACCATCTTATTTTTTACAAAATTAGGGGTGAGTTGGTTAGTTCTAAACTTGTCGTGATAAGTAGCATGTTCTACTTCTGCTGGTCTATTTTCCTTGGTGTGGTCATGTCTCTAGTGGGAAGGAACATGTTGTTAATACAAAAACCAATGTTTTCTTGGAAACAATCCTAATTAGATCAATATGCTAACATCTTGTGTTTGTAAGTCCTGGGAGAGGAGTCCTAATCATTTTCCCATTGTGGTTAAGCTAGCAACAACTTGTAGTATTTTTGTTGTGTGGATGTATTCTAGAAAAGGGTAATCAAAGCATTTGTCTTCTGTGATTCTTTGCATGAGCTTTTGTGTTGATGCGAACTGAAGCATTAGTCTTATGTGATTTTTTGCATTCATTGAGCTTTTTATTTCGTTTGAATGATGACTCCGTCTATGTTTATGTGATTATTACTTTAGTTTACTACTAGAGCAAGATTGTGATGCAATTGATAGGTTTTGCCGTGATTCATCAAGTCAACCTTGGACTTCATCTCATCATACTTGATCATTAGTTCCTTCTTTTATGCATGCCGGTATTATTTTTTGATTGGAGAGACTCATCAAGTGATAGGTTTTGGCGTGATTCATCAAGTGAACCTTGGACTTAATCTCAACCATGCGTGGTCTCAAAAAAGTTGCTCTGATCTAACCTAGCTGGCGATTGTGTTCCTTCGTTTATGCATGCCAATATTAACTTTTGATTGGAGAGACTTGATTTGTGCTTTATGGAGGAAAATCGAATGGGAAAGTTCATACTCAAAGATTGATTCTTTTTAGTTTGGAGCAAGTAAAAGGAGCAAGTAAAAGGATTAAATATATCAGTCTCTGGTGTCATCATATGTAGATTGAAGTGTTGGAAAATAAACTTTCATGTTGTTGACAGTTCCATCTTCATCTTCTGTTAGTTGTAAGACCGATATCTTTTCAATATCATGTCAGGGAGAACCTTAGCAAACTAAGCTTTTTAGCTTTATTCTTTTGTTCAGTGCTGCTGGGATTGAAGTTTCACACTTTGTTCTGTGCTACTGGGATTTGTAGGGTTTTTGTGGCAAAAGAGAGACTGATAAGTGTATGGGAAGCCCACAAACTAGGGTGTGACTTGGCTCAAGTTCCAGCGTAGAAAGCGGTCAGTTACAAAGTAACATGCTGGGTGGAAGCTTGGTGGGCTCAAGGTTCTCAATTTTTACTGAATCAACTAGGTATGTTTGGACACTACATTTAACTTCATTGTAACTTATATTCAACATAACAATTAAGACTTGAATCGATAGCGTTGATAGATAGACTGAATGAGATACCCTGTTAGGGTAGCTTATTTTGATGAACAGACCAAAACTTATTTAGCTTATTTTGGTGGCTGCAAAATCCTTTCCATATCCCCCCCCCCCCTCTTATTCTTGTTGGAGTTATGCTGCCCAAGTTAGAATGGACATCAGTTGAATTTTTCAATGTCAAAGCTTGTTGTGTTTTGGGTGAATTTTATATATGCCAATGGCAGATTTCATGGTTAATTAGTATACTCAGGTATTCAGTGGGGGGTTTTCAGTTCTTCTGGTAGTTGGAACTTGATATCGAGGCAAGTGTGCTTGTGAGTTGTGGTATAGACTTGCATTTTTTCAATATTGATACAAGCCATATAGTGAAAACCAGGATTGAACTCACTACCTGGAGAATGTGTTTACCTAATGATTGAATGATCCTTTTCTAGAATGAAACTTTGTCAAGTGGAAATGACGATGACCAAAACAAGGAAAGCAATCAAGATGACAAAGAGACCAATGAGGAAGAGGACGGTGAAGACGATGACGAGGGCAATGATGATGACCAAAACAAGGAAAGCAATCAAGAGGACAAAGGGACCAATGAGGAAGAGGGAAGTGACTCTAGCGAGAGAAATGAAGATGAGCAGATCCAGGAAAACAATGACGAGAACGAGAGCACTGACAAGGAAGAGGGGCAGTGAAGATGAGCCAACCAAAGTCCTTAGTACTTAGCTATGTGTGTATGCGTTGTGCATATGTATGTTTTTCAATTAGAATATGATGATGCACCGGTGTGGGCTACATGCAGCTAACTTAAGCATTAATTAGTCATATTTAAATGTGTTATGGATACTTGTTTTGTCAGACAAATGTAATGCTTTGATTGCTTTTTACTTTTTGTTAACAGGGTATCTCACTTGATATGATGTACTGCTACAAGATCTGTTCCTACTTAAGTCATGGCAGGTTGTTTCCTGGGCTCTTCTAGTGTGGAGACTCAAGATCTGTTCTACTTCTCAAACGATCCAAGCACAACATGTAATGCTGGTGTTCAGCTTGAAAAAAACATTATGTTTCAACTTGTCATGTTTGTTTTCTCGAAGTTAGTATCTAGTTGCATTGAATGGATCTATGTAATGTTGGTTACTAGCTTTAGAGAACATTATGAATGATCTTTTTCATAAGATTGAAGTTCTAGAAAACAATTCATTATGTTTGAAACATAATTACAGGAGATAGTTCTATAGGTGAAAGTCTCCTACTGCAAATCTGACACCTCATACTAGTAATCTCACGGCCGTAAAATACTCCGGTGAGATGTAAAAAGCAGTGCTACATTCCCCAGGAAAATCTCACGACAGTGGGATGTCCCGTGATATGCAAAGAGCAGTTCTCACTATCCCAGGAAATTTCACGGCAGCTACTTGACATTCTCACGCCCGTGAAAAAATCACGTGATATTGAAACACACAGCTGCCACTCAAACGTTCTCACAACTCATTCTGGCATAATAACGGCTGTGGAATTAAGATATACCTAGACTTTCTAGAGTTTTACCTTTACACTATGATTACAACTTAAAGTTATACCTACACTTTCCCAAAATTCTCTCTATGGTACAATTCAAAATTGTTCCTATATATTGTGGTACAACATAAAGTTGCACCTACACTTTGTAACAAATCCCTCTATAGTACAACTCAAAACAGTACCTATATTTTATGTTATAATTTTAAGTTGTATATACACTTTCTAACAAATCCCTCTATGGTACATTTCAAAATTGTATCTATACTTGTGGTACAAACTTATGTTGTACACTTTCTAACAAATCCCTATATGGTACAACTCAAAATTGTACCTACACCTATGGTACAACCTTACGTTGTACCTACACTTTCCAAAAATCCTTCTATGGTACAACCTAAATTTGTACCTATACCATAGTACAACTTCCAATTATACCTATACCATGATATAACTTAATGTTATACCTACACTTTATAACAAATCCCTCTATAGCTCAACGCAAAATTGTACATTTACTTGTGGTACAACTAAAGATTGTACCTACAAATTCTAAAAATCCTTCTATGGTACAACCCAAACTTGTACTTATACTATGGTGCAAAAATGTTGTACCTACACTTTATCACAAATCCCTCTATGGTACGACTCAAAATTGTACCTATACATATGGTACAACTCTATGTTGTACCTACACTTTCTCACAAATCCCTCTATGGTACAACCTAAATTTGTACCTACACGCTATGTACAATTTTCAGTTGTACCTACACTTTGTGAAACTATTTTTCAATGGTACAACTCAAACTTGTACCTATACGCTATGGTACAACTATAATTTGTATCTACACTTTTTTTACAAGTAATATCAAAGTAAAATAGTTAAACCTATACTCAAAACCCCAAAAAACATTAGTGAACCCACCCTACAACTACAAAATCAAAGGACGCTATCTCTACAGGGGACAGGTGCAGAGCTTGTCTTTCCACTCTATGGGAAACCCAGTTGACAGTCCTCAGGACCGAACTAAAGTGAATACAAGATGAACATGAGCTCAACAACTGAAGACAATCCCGAAGTACAGGCCCGCCCTACGAGTCTTCACAACATCTATCGTCAAGCTGTCGGATAACCACTTCAAAATCACCTTCGATGATGGCGAGGGGGATACTGCGAGAAAGCACCAAAGAAATGGCGTCTCTGGCCGCTAGAAGCTCTGCAAGATAAGGGTTCGAAACTCCTGGATGAAGGAATCCCAAGACCAAAAAGACTTCCCCATCCGTTCCTTGAGCTACGAGGCCAGACGAGCAGCCTGAATCACGAACAGCAGCATCGAAGTTGACCTTGATAAAACCTTTAGGCGGACCAATCCAATTGAACAGACGAGAGGACTGGAGATGGGGAGAGGGGAGCTAGGGCTAAGGAGAGACTGAGGAATATTCTTGAACTTGGAAAACGAATTGACGGGCAAGCGAACTGGCTAGTAGTTGAGAGAATTCAAGGACCATTTTATTTCTAGATTTCCAAATTCTCCAAAGAAGCAATGGATGGGAGATAGTGGATTTGGAAGGTTTCCGAGTTCATAACATGTCGCCACCAGATACCAAAGTTTTCAGTTGGGGTGGAGAAAAGTAAACTACTTAATCTCACCATAGTCCAGAGATGTAGAGCAAGAGGACAATGGAAAAAGAGATGTTCAATACTCTCTTGACTATCGCAACAAACTGGACAAGGAGCTTGGCAGTTGATTCCCCGAGACCTAAGAGCCACCATGGTTGGCAATATTACTTCCAAAGATTGCCATTCAAAGAACTTGAGTTTTGGTGGGACGTCAAATGCCCACGTTCTTTTCCAAATAGGAGGATCAATGATGGAAGCCATTGATTTTTGGCTAAGCGTAAGGATATTATCCAAAGCAAGATGGTATCCTGTTTTTACAGAATAAGATCCGTTTTGGTGAAATGCCAGATTAACCTGTCCTGCTGAGGTAGAATGGGAACTACCGTATTATGAATGAGATCGATTGATTCTTCTTTGAACTAATGCCTTAATCGAGGTACATGCCATTCCCCTCGACCTCTCTGATGAAAAAAGACACCCTTATATTGTTATTACCATCTTGCAGCCTAAGCTTAGGAGGGCATGGTTTATCAGCTAATAACCAATTATCTTCGAAGGCTTCTATGCTATGTCTGTCGCCTACCTGCCATTGCAATCCTTGCATTAGTAGCTCTCGCCCAAATACGATACTTCTCCATCCCCAAGATGGGTTAGATCCAATGGAGGCTTTCAATATCGTACTATCATTGAAGTATCTTCCTTTGTATAATCGACTAAGGAGTGAGTCAGGGTTTGACCAAATGCGCCAACAAAGCTTGGCTAAAAGAGCTTGATGAAAGGCTCTAAAATCCCTGAAGCCTAGTCCTCTGTGAAATTTACTTTGAGCAAGACCTTTCTATGATACCCAGTGAATTGGATGATCATAATTATTAGCAGAACCCCACCAAAACCTTCCCATAAGGCTATTTAAACGTCGACAAGTGTCAACTGGGAACTTAAAACATGACATATTATGAACTGGTATATTAGTTGATGAGGTTCTTATTAGGGTGTCCTTAGCCGCCTTGGAATTTCTTGCCCATCTTTTCCTCAATGTAGAGGAAGGTATCCTTTTCGGTTATTGGAATTAGAGAGGGTCGGCCTAGATAAGAATCCTGCTCCCAACTGAGATTCCATAAAGCTTGCATCTTCACTTTTAGTATTTCTACTAAATAATACTGTCGATTTTGAGAGATTTACTTTCTGGCCACTTTGTCTTTCATACCCCTGAAGCAAGGATAAAATATTTGAACAAGAAGCACGGGAGGCTTCTAAGAAAAGGTAAGAGTCATCGGCAAAGAAGAGGTGGGAAATCATAGGACAGTTCTGACGTATTCTTACATCTTATAAGAAGCCCATAGTTACTGCCTGATTTATCATCACAAAGAAACCCTCTATGCATAAAGCAAATAATAGAGAAGAAAGAGGATCACCTTGCCGTAGTCCTCTCGAAGGTTTGAAATATTCCGAGGGGGAGCCATTAACGAGGATGGAATAGGAGACAACGGTGACACACTCCTGGATCTAAGATACGAACTGACTATTGAACCCTAATTCCTTCATCATTTCGAAGAGAAATGGCCACTCAATACGATCATAAGCTTTCTCCTTATCTAGTTTTAAGGCCATCCAACACTTCGACACTGAGTAAAGGGTTTTAATATGGTGAGTGACCTCATGGCTGATCATTACATTATCTGTGATCTGGCGATCTTTGATGAACCCATTTTGAGATTGAGAAATAACTGAGGCTAAACTTTGCTAAGTCTATTCGCTAGTATCTTGTAGATAATTTTATAGACCACTTGTCAAAGACTAATGGGCCTAAGATTTTTCATAGTACGAACTTCCGACCCTTTTGGCACTAAGGAAATACAAGTCCAATTAAAGCTTCTCAACAGTCTTCCGGTGTGAAAGAAAGTTAGGACTGCCTAAGTAACGTCTTGTCTAACTAGGGGCCAATAATGTTGGAAAAAACCGGCTGTGAACCCATCTGGATCTGGAGCTTGAATTTTGCCCAGGCTGAAGACCGCTTTTTTTTATTTCCTCTGTAGTGACAGGAGCTATTAATCTCCAATTCTGTTCTTTTGTAAGGGTGTTTGGGAAAACTAGATTGGAGAGACTTAACCCACTCAGATTTTTACTTTGGAAGAGCCCTTGGTAGTACCTCTTGGCAATGCCACATTTTTCTGCTTCTGAATTACACCAGTTTCCTCTTTCATCCTCAAGTCCCCATATTATGTTATTTAGATGCCTTGTTGAGGTAACCAGGTGAAAGTAAGCAGAATATTTATCCCCTACTTTTAACCAATTAGTACGAGACTTTTGTTGCCAATAGATCACTTCTCTTTTATATTGAATGGACAACTTCTCTTCCAATGATCGAATTAAATTTCAATCCACCATTTGATCGTTTCTGGCTTTTTCCAAAGCGGAGTTAAGATCGTTAATCAATCTAGCTGAATTGGATTGCCCTCCTTTGCACCATTCTACTAGGGTGTGCCTCACTCGCAACAGTCTAGAGAATAGACAATATTGTATAGAGCCTATAACTTGTGAACCCCAAGGCAGCTAATGATTAGTTCAGCTTCTAGCATCAATATCCAACGAATATCGAACCTGAATAACCTTTTAAAATGAGGAGCCATGACACTAGTAGTCAACCATAGAAGTCGATGATCTGAACCTCTATCAGAGAGGTGGTATAAGCATGAGTCGGGCCAATAGTTCATCCAAGCAGGTGAGACAAAAACTCTATCAATTCTTTGCTCGATTGTAATCCCATTCATGCCCCGATTTTTCCAAGTATACTTAGGTCCTTTAAAAGGAGGTTCAAAGAGGCCGGTTTGATGAAGGAAATCCCACAAAGGCCGAGCTTTGTCCATACGCCAAGTAGCTCCCCCTAATTTTTCTAATGGAAATAGAGAGCAGTTGACATCCCCTGTGATTAGGAATGGATCAGAAATGCTGGACGAAAATCTTTTTATTTCCTCTAATTGTTCTTGTCTCTTCGAGATGATGTAAGAAAGATAAATTCCAATTAAAACGAAACGTGGACACTCTCCATAGAAAGAGGAGTTATTATTGATGATAGAAATGGAAATAAAAAAGGATGTGGACCCCATTAACAGACATTGAGGCCGACCGTGGCCAAGCAAAGACTAATCCGCCCGACATGCCGGTAGGATCAACAATGTGACAATCAGAAAACCCTAACGAGGAAATAAAAGATGACACCGTACTTCTCGAAGACATTGTCTAACTTAGGAAAAGAAAAGATTTAGCTAAACCACGATGATTTTTGAGCATTTGGAATGTCAAGGGACTCCTCACACCTTGACAATTCCACGCGAATACATTCATTTATCAGTTTGGGGCCACTTGGGGTTGGCTTCCTCCACCCTTATCTTTTGTGCATTTTTTGGCGCTGATTCCACCACGCCTTCTTCCGGCTCCTGGATACAAGTTCCGACATCTCTTCGAGTATAGACAATAGGAGATCCCGAGTATTCTACCAGAATGGCCTTGCCTTTTGACTTTCCATTTTCGACCGGGCCAATCGGAGAGCATGATACTGCAGATTCTGAAGATAGTAAGGGGGCCTCGAGATTTAGCAAGACCATTTCTCCTTGATAGCCAAACGGGTTAGTTTCATCCAAATCTTGAAATAAAAAATCTGGATTCTCATCGCAAAATAAATTACCTAGCCCAAAGAATTGGGTTGGCTCCTGCACTTGCAATGGGATTGGGTTTTCCATAATTGGATCACTCCTTTTTTGCCCATCATTTTCGAAAATGGGCTCCTCTTCAGGCCCATTGGTGAATTCTTTTCTGGTCTCCTGAAGGCTTGAGCAGGCCCTTCTACTCGGCCCAGGTAACAATTCAATAGCTGGCCTCAGTCCAATCAGATTGCTCCCTTCCACGTTGTTTGGGCTTGGGTTTTGTTGGGCCCTTGAAGGGTTTGAGACTTGAGTCTGTCCCCTTCGACTTCTCCCTCTCTAATTGCCTCTGCCTGCTGTCGGAGAAGAGAGTGCCGCCGGATTTGGATCCTGGTAATGACGAGGCGACGGCGCTTCCAGGAGCAGCCTCGCTCCAGCTTGGCATCGCGTGGTTTGCCCAACCTGCCTCCATATATTGGAACCTCTACCACGTCCACCACTTCGAATCGAGGCATAGGAAAATTCGTTTATTTTTGGTCATGTTTTGTTGCCAATGATTTCCGGACCGAAGCCGTCATACCTTGCAATTAACTCGAACGGACAATTGTGCTGGTTGTGTCCAATTCGCCTATATCGGTAACATACCATTTTGACTCCCTCGTACCTGAGAGAGACCCAGAAGGAGGGCGCAGCAGAGCCATCCGGATTCCTCTTTCTTGCCTCTAGTCTGTGTTCAAGAGGAGCCGATACATCGATCTTAATTCGCGATTTGAAGACGCAACCCGTGCTCTCCCAAACAGCATACATAGCCACATCCTCCACGGTGCCAAGCTTTGAAGCTAGCAGAGCGCCGAGAGCCACGGTTCGATATTCCTCCGGCAAATTCCAGAGTTGCACCAAATATGGCACCCGAGCCATTTCCTAGAATAATTCTTCCGAGGTAGTCTCCCACTTTTTGAATGTGAGAATTTTCGATTGGATGAACTAAGGAGCCTTTTCGAGTGCCTCATTGTAATCAACTTGATTTGCAAAGACGAATTGAAAGAGTCTGAATCCGGCATCCAATACTGTTACCGCTGCTCTTTTGGCCCATATGTTATTGGCCATGTGTTGAGCTCTGATTCGGGACGGATGGGATGAGTAGAGGAGACATCCGACTAGGCTCAGCCTTGCTCTGTTCAGCCCAGCCTCCAGAACCTCGTCTGTAAATTCCACAGGAGCAGCCATTAGGAAGTTGGGAAAGTAAGGGGAATGCTCTGTTTTTTTTTAAAGGAACAGGGGAGGAGACACAAAAATTGGAAAGGAGAAGGGTTGGAGGACTGGGTCAGGATTGCTTGGTCAAAGAGTTGTGAATTTGGGGTTATAAAAAGGCCCATGAGAGAGGAGCGTAGAGGCTGGTCATTAAAGCCCAAAACGGACGGGCTTAATCTGCGGCTGGAATGGGGCTGGAATGTCTCTAAATAAGGACACTAAATGAATATCCGTTGGGTACACAGAAGGGTTCAGAAAACAGTCCACTAATCAATGTTGGAGAACGATTCAAGGCCCTACAGGCCTTATTATTACCAATAATTTGATTTGAGGAAGGCACTTTTATTTTTATTAATCAATGTGCCTTTGAATTCTTCTTGCACGTTGTTTGCTGTCTCCTCCACTTCTTTAGGCGGACTCCAACATTCCGAGGCATAATGCCCATACTTCGAGCAATTATAACATTGGACGTTGGATTTATCACGACCTTCATTTGATCTCCAACTTCCTCTTCCACGTCCACAACCACGACTTCTGCCTCTGGTGGACATTTCATAATTGTTCGTGGTAAAATTTCCTCCGTCTCTTCTTTGATATGCTCCTCGGGCTCTTCCTCTTCCTCTGCCTCCATAGTTGCCTCTGCCTCGACCTCTGTATTGACCTCCTCCTCGACACCTTCTTTCTCCTCAGTGGTAGCTTTTGTAGCTAACACTTGCTCTGACGATTCTTCATTTCTTTTATTTAGCCTTTCCTCCCGTGCTTGCAATGAGCCAATAACTTCATCCACTGTCATCTTTGACACGTCTTTTGCTTCCTCCATGGCCACCACCACGTAATCAAATTTTGGTAATAGCGATCGTAGAATTTTCTCCACCACTTTGGTCTCTTCAATTTTCTCCCCATACTGCTTCAGTTTGCTGATGACTGACTTCACACGGGCGGTGTAATCTGAAATAGGTTCACCTTCCTTCATTTTAATGGCTTCAAAATCTCCCCTTAGTGTCTGAAGTCGAACCTTCTTTACTGGTTCCACGCCTTGCATTTCCTTTTGCAGAATCTCCCATGCTTCCTTTGCTGTGGTAGCATCTGCTATTTGATCGAGCATTGATTCATCAAGACATTGATGAATGATAGTGAGTGCTTTTTGATCACTCTTTCTATTTTTTCTCAATACCTCCTTTTCAGCAGGAGATAACCGAGAATCCTCCATTGGAATCTCGTAGCCTTTTTCGACAATATCTCAAGCATCTTGGGATCCAAGCAAGGCTTTCATACAAATGCACCCATTTTTGTAATTGGTTTTGGTAAGGTGGGGGAATTGAATGGGGAAAGTAGATTTTTCGGCCATGATACAATCGTGATAACAAAAACACGAGAAATTCTTTTCTGATGTGGAAGCTTAGACTACGCTGCAACCACAGAGCATACTTAAGATTAACTCGGGCTCTGATACCACTTTGTTGGAAATAAATTAATTATTTCCTTTATAATGTTTGGTGGGCACGTTGCCTTTTGGAAAGGGAGGCTTTGAATTGTATTGGGGTAGGGAGGTGAGTAGGCTGCAGAGAGTGAGAGCTAAAAAAACAAGAAGGTTTCTTTATTTCTTTCTTTTGGTTTACTCTACTTCTTGGCTCTGCTTTTCAAAAGTACATGGACAAGCCTATTTACAGGCTTCATTCTCCCTGCACATTCTCCCACAACCGACTCAAACATGTGGCTTTCTTTTTTTCTTTGTTTTTTTATACTGCAACTAGCAACTACACACATTAATTGTTTTCTACAAACTTCCATAATCAAACACACTATCATCCACGTATTCCTAGATTCTAGGAATTTATGATATTTTGATTGGTTATTATTATTAAACTTTTTTTTTTTTAGGGTTATTATTATTAAACTTTATTTTCAACACATGGATCACTAATTGCTCTGCCGCCCACAACAGTAAGACGACTAAATAAAGTTGAGAGAACAGTGGGATACAAAATTGAACTAAGGATAAATATGTAATTTTGATCAAAATTATGGGCGGCAAATAGTAAATATTAGGGTGGCAAATAACAACCCTCCTAGATGAATGAGAAAGAAAATCGAACCTAGAGCACTGTGCCGGTTAGGTTAATTGAGTGGCTCAAAATCGAACAGCCACGCAACCCACGATCTGTTAGAAGAGATTGAACTGAAAATTGAGGATTTGGAGCGAGTTGAAGTTTGAATAAACTTAACTGCTGCTGTGTCGTTTTGGTTTTAGCGTTGTTGGGTTGTTTTAGTCTGTGTGTCATTGAGTCTGTTGTAGGGTTTTTTTCGTGTCTTAGACTGCAAGGTATTCTGCGGCTAGTCTGTTAGTGGGTAGTTTGTTAGCTACTTTTCAGGATAGTGGGAGCCTGATTTGGAGGCCCTAATTCCTATACTTAGTTTTGTTTCTGATTCTAAATCAAACTATCGGATTGCATTCTAAAGAGTTTTCACATTTGGTATCAGAGCTCTTGCAAGCTATAACTAAAAGAAAAGTGCTTTCAAACAAACGTGTGAGAGTGAGTTCAAAGCTATCAAGCTACAGAGTGATTGATAAACTGTTGTTGAGTTGTAGTGTGGGTTTGGGAAACACGAGAGAACTGGAGAGGTGTTCTTCAACTCGGGTGAGTGATTAGTTCAGAGATTTAGAGAAGTTTTCCAATTAGAACCAGAAACATGAGTGATGCTAGCTTTGCACAAGTGGGTTTTCCCAAGTTTGATGACGACTATGATCACTGGAGCATGTTGATGGAAAACCTACTTCGCTCCAAAGAGTATTGGGGCGTGGTACATGAAGTGTTCCAAGAGCCTGCTGTGGGTGCTACACTGTCTGCGGCAGAATCCAAAACTCTGGAAACTATTACCAAGAAAGCTACTGCCAAGGAGCTCTGGGACTCCATGAAACTCAAATGTCAGGGTAGTGCTAGAGTCCAAAAGGGTTCAATTGCAAGCTCTCGGGAGGACATTTGAAGTGTTGGAAATGAGGGATGGAGAAACTATGTCTGCTTATTTCAATTGAGTTATGATAGTTGCTAATGACAAGAGGAACTGTGGAGAGGAGATGCCTGATGGAAAGATTGTTGAAAAGATCTCGAGGAATCTGACAGAAAGGTTCAACTATGTGGTATGTTCCATTGAAGAACCCAATGATATTGATCAGTTAACTGTTGATGGCTTACAGAGTTCATTAGTGGTGCATGAGCAAAAGTTTGCTAAAAGAGGGGCTTCTGATGAGGATCAGGCCCTTAGAAGTTAGAACCAGTCATGAGTATGGTAGTAGGGGAGGGCGAGGTCAGGGAAGAGGCTTCTATCTAAGAAGAGGTAGAGGAAGGAGTGTTAGGGGTTGGAACAAGGACTCAGTTGAATGTATTAAGTGCCACAAATTAGGTCACTACATAAATGAGTGTGCTGAGTGGTATAGGGATCATTAAGAACACCATACCAACTATGTGCAGGACAAGTCTTTTGGTGATCTTAAAGATGATACGCTGCTAATGGCTTCAGTGGAGGAAGTTTGTGAAGATGCTAATGCTAACTAGTGATTTCTTGATTCAGGATGCAGCAACCATATGACTGGCAACAAGAAATGGTTTGCTGATGTTAACACCATTGCAACATGTACTGTGTGGCTAGGAAACAACACAAGGCTTGATGTTGCAGGGAAGGGAACAGTGAAACTTACTGTTAATCAACTTCCCATCACCATTCAACATGTGTTCTATGTCCCAGCTTTAAAGTCAAGCCTTTTGAGTATGGGCCATTGGCAGGAGAAGGAGCTTGTTTTTCTGATCAAACATGGTAGTTGTAAGATTTTTCATGAGGAAAAGGGGTTGTTGTTTGAAATTGAAATGAAAACAAACAAGATGTTTGTACTGCATGCCACTGCCAACTCAATGTCTGATCAGTCAGGCATTCAATGCTTGGAGACCTCGAGTCTCAACAACCAAAGTTTGCAGATGCTAAGCAAGAAAGTTGACACGCCAAAACACAACACCAACTGCGACCAAGCGTAATCCCAGTCCGGAAATGCAGTAACAGGCAAGCTCTAATTGTCAACCCAGGGTCAAGATCTACTGCTTACTCCGTGTATATCTGTTATCTAGCAAACTAAGTTTATTGATGTTGATTTAAGTAAAAGCAGTAAGAAAGCAGGAAATGGTCGGTTTCTAAAGCAAATGAAAAGTCACTCGTGAATGAGTCCCCCTAGCTCCTTAGTTGGGTCACAGTTGTAATTACTTTTGGTTGTTTTACTACTGATTATACTACGGAAGATCCGACAGTGGCTTGGAATCTCTTAAACTGACCAAGCCCTCTCAGTCAAACTACCCGGCAGACAACTAGTCTTCACCAGGATAGAACGTTGAGGCAATGAACACAGAACTCCACTATTCGAATTGGATTACAGTACAAAGCAGTGAATCGACCAACTCTCGTATAATTGAATCACTACTACCGAATGAAGAAGCTCTAACAACCTAATCAGATTCTATCTATCTCAGGTTGCAGCAGACATCAATAAAAAACGATCAGACTTCAATTGACTCAATCAAAATACTTAATCGATTATAATCAAGAAATATCACAATCCGAATGCAATTACAATCAATATTCCTAACACATGGAACTAGGGTTCTTCATACCCAAGTGAGAGAAAGTTCTACTCCATAGAGAGAGAGAGAGAGGAAAATAGAAATCAGAGTAGTCATACTCATAAAGATGAGGAAAATCTGCTCTGGATGTCAATCTTCACTCCTAGGGATGCAATTTGGGTTTCAATGGTGAGAAATCCACTCCAAATAACTCCTAGGGTTTGTTCTTTGCACTTTCTCTCTCTAAAACTCTGTTTTTGCTCCAAAAAGTCGACTATCTTTCCTTTGGCTCGAAATTGGGTTAAAACCTAGAAATTGCCAACCACACGGCCGTGTGGCTTTTTAGGCGTGCCCGTGTGAGTGTGCAAAACGTCGCGTTTCACTTAAGTGGCTTCAGGTACGCTACACGGCCAAAACCACACGGCTGTGTGGATTTTAGGCGTGCCAGTGTGAACTCCCTGGACTTTCCACACGGCCACAAGGGGTCCCCTACACGGCTAGTGTGGCTTTCCCGTGCAATTTGGTGCCACACGGCCAGGTCACACGGCCGTTTGGGTTTTTAAACTTGCCCCTATGGCTTTTCCAGCTTTTCGTCAAACGCCCCAACTTTGTCCAATCGGCTTCGAACTCGTGCCCAAACTTTCTTTCACGTACTAGGACCTGAAATATCACAAACAAGAACAACCTAGCGTGAAATCGGCCTAAAACATGAGAGATGAGACTCAAACGGTACATGAATGGTGGATAAAAACATGTGCATATATCAAGTCATCAAATTCCCCCACACTTAACTGTTTGCTTTTCCCCAAGCAAACCTGACTCAAACCAATACAACTCTCCAGACCTCTATAGCAACATGCAACCCCGATCGTCGGCAGAGGATTTTCTAGATCATTTAGCAACTTACGAGGTCAACTGGTCTTCTAAGACGCCTCCTATCTCTCTCAATGTGAGTACTAGACTCAAGCTAGGATCATGAGAAGTAGTGGAACTAAGACATTCAATTCATGGATAAGGAGACTCACATAATTCAACAACCACAGACTCATTGTATCGGGTGCTCTTTCATTTCATTTCACTTGTTGGAACCCCTTCTTCTTACTATTTGTTTTGTTTTTTTTTTCTTTGCCGAGGTTCCAACTACAGTTTGTATGTGCAGTCTGCCGTTATTAGGTGAGCAAGAACAGTTTCTGTACATCTGTCACTCGCCAGAGTACTTATATTTACTCCTATTCCTTACTTCGTGTGGAGGGTCAATGAAATTAAGGGGGGTCGGAAGCTCTATCCGTGTTCTTAAAAACAAATCCTCAAGTAGGCCAACCGTTCAAAGGGTGGAAATTTTACTTGTACTAGAGACAAATTAGCTTCACCTTGTAGGCCTACCCCACCAAGGATCACTAAAATCTCTTCCAAAACCCGATTTTGTGCAATGAACGGTGCCACACACGTTGGGCTTACCCCATGTATTAGAATTTTAAATTTTTGACATGGAGAACCAACTGCTTTTTCATTTCACACTTGAGCATCCTTTTTCGATACACGAGCCCATAACACAACATAAGAGGTGTCATCAATACCACATGAATCAACGGTCCTAAATCCACTAGTTCACAAAATCAACCGGCACAGCAGAGAGACAGATAGGAAAAATCTTATACTTCAACATCCTCTATAGTGCTACAACTACCTCCCTAGATTGCATATCACCATAAACACTGATATTTCAAAGCATACTAAGCAGGATTTTGCAGGGAACAGTACTTGGAGCCCTCAATTCATCAAATTGGACAGTGGACTAGGCTTCAAGCACACAAACTCATCTAGCAGTCAAAAATAGATAAACACCCCACACACTTAAGCACGACATTGCCCTCAATGGAGCAAGGGAAAGATAAGAGGGAACGATGTTACCTGGAATACGGACTGTCGGGGGACTGGAAATGAGACCAGTCAGCAGGTCCAGAGTCATCAAAACACACTGGGTGATAGAAACCATAGTTCCAAGTGGACAAACCGAAAAAAAAACAAAGGAAAAACAAACCTTGGTGGGGTTGTCTCCCCACAAGCGCTTCTTTACCGTCTTTTAGCTAGACGCCAGTAGGGTGGATACTCAGAGAGGTGAAGGAACAGGTGCCTCCAAGAGCGGATCCACATCGCTCTTGAGGTACAGCTTCAGATGGTGGCCATGCACACGATGGGTGTGACCACCAGCACTCGTCAACTCAACCTGGACATCGGGCAGGATGCAAGCAGTGAATACTCAGATGGCCAAGGTGGTCGAGGCTCAGGAGGCGGGACCAGCTCGTAGTGGTCTTCGGCTTTCTTGTGAGCAGGCTTAGCTACCTGCAGGTTCGGCCGCCATTCCTCCCTGATCTTTTCCTTTGGTGACGGAGTGGACGGGAGTGGCGGCGAAGGTATGGGAGGGGGATCCTGCAAAATGGGAAGCACAGAAGGATACACGACAGACTCGTGCTCCTGGTGAGAAACAGCATGCAAGGGCGATGAAGCAGGGAGAGTATTAGCAATGGAAAATGCTATTCGCTCCTCGCCATCCCTCAAGACTAAGGTCCCATCATGTACATCTATGGGAGCCTTGGCGGTGGCCAAGAAAGTCCTTCCTAGTATAAGGGGCACTTCTGTGTCTTCATTGATGTCCAAGACAACAAAATCCACAGGATAAAAGAATCTGCCAACCTTAACCAGAAGGTCTTCCACTATTCCCCTGGGATGTACTATAGATCGGTCAACTAGTTGAATACTCATCCTAGTTGCACTGGGTTCACTTAGGCCTAGTTTCTTGAACAATTTATATGGTATCACATTAATACTAGCACTTAGATCCGCCAAGGATCTCTCTACATACAATTTACCTATAGAGCACGAGATAGTAAAATTACCTGGGTCCTTCTGCTTCTACAGAAGCTTGTTCTGCAGAACAGTCGAGCACTCCTCGCTAAGCTCCACAGTGGCTAGCTCGCTCAGCCTCCGCTTACTCGAGAGAATCTCCTTCAGGAACTTCGCATACTTAGGCATCAGAGATAGTGCCTCCATGAAGGGCACTTGAACATGCAACTTTCTAAGCATGGACGAGAAGTTTCCAAACTCTGCCTCCAGTATGTCTTTGTAAATCCTGGTGGGAAAAAGGAGCTTAGGCTTGTATTCAGCCACTACCGGTTGTGGCTTTGGAGCTTGATCCTCTGGCACCTTTTTCCAGCACCTGGTCTTCTTCCGGCTCTGGGGTGATCTAGGTCACCTTCTTGGCACTCTTCTGCGGTGCATCCGCAGTCATAGTCCCACTTCGCAGCGTAATGGCGTGCAACCCATCCTTATGATTTCTGGGATTCTGTAGGGGTTGGCCAGGAAGTGTGCCAACCGGTTTGGAAGCTAGGGCATCTGCCAGGTGCCCGATCTTGGTGTCAATATCCTGCAGGAGTGCCTGCTGGTTTCTCTGTCCAGCTTCAATCACCATGAATTTACCTGCAGCCACTTCCATGAATTGCTCCAATTTGTTGAACTTTTGGGTACTAGTGCTTGCCAAGGTAGTCACTAGATCCCTCGGTTCTGACACGTGATCGCCCGGTGCTGGGGCTGATGGAGGTGCACCAGGTTGCTGATACTGCTGCTGTGGGGGCTGTTGAAAAGCCTGCCCCTATCTGGGCTGATAGAGTGGCTGTTGTTGCTGCATCTGGCCGTGCCGAGGCTGGTATGGCTGCCTCTGTTTTGGGAAACTAGCTGCAGGAGCCTGGAAGCCAGGTGGCTTTGGATTGTTGTTGCCACTCCAGGAGAAATTTGGATGCTGGCGCCATCCCTCATTGTAGGTATTACTGTAAGGATCGTTGCGCCTGGCAGTCCTCCATAGTATGATGGGTTCTCTCGCACCACTGACGATGCATCGCCTGCTGATGTCCTGCCCCTGGGATCATTCCCGAACGATCGATGGCTGAAACCAGTTTAAATACCACCTGCGAGAAATCAGATGACTCGGTGGCTACAACATGCACACCCCGCCCTGGTGCTCGTCTCTATCTCCTCGCAGTTCCCCAATCATAGCCCTACTCTGCCATCTCTTCAAAAATTTGATTCAGCTGTGGCGGTGATTTGGTGAGCATATTCCCTCCACAGACCGAGTCAATCAGCTGCTTGTCCTACAGGAAGAGGGCATGGTAGAAGGTGCCCGCCTTGAAGGCGTCATTGAAACCATGGTTGGGATACTTGAGTAAGAGACTGGTGTATCTCTCCCAAGCATCCCGGATGGTCTCATCTTCATCCCGAGCAAAGTGGATAATTTGCTTCTGCAGGTCCGCCGTCATGGACGGGAGATGGTAGCGAGTGAGGAACTTGTCCGCCAGGTTGGCGAACGTGGTGATCGAGCCTGGAGGTCGAGTGTCTAGCCACTCCTTGGCCTGCCCCTCTAGAGTAAATGGGAAGTACCTCAGCTGGATGGCATCGGCTGGGACCCCACTGATCTTGATTCCATCGATGAGCTCGTGGAATCGCCTCAGTTGTGCTCGGGGGCACTCCCCCTCTTTTCCACGGAATACTACCGAGCCGCGCAACATAGTGATGACCGAGGTGCTCATCTCAAATTTGTTGGCTGGTACATGAGGGTGCTGAATGGGCGACCTCATATCCGCGGCTCTAACGGTCCACTAGTACCCCATGGTTTGCTCCTCGGAAAGGACCACATCATGGTTCTGTGGGTCACCCATCTCTTCTTTGTCGGCGATTTGCAGCTGTGCTAGCGCCTCCTCCGCAGCTAGTCGCGCCTTTAGAGCCCGCTTGAAGTTCCTACAAGTTCGGTCAAGCTCCTGGTCTAATGGTAGTAAATCTCCCGACTGGCTACGGGTCATGTACTACCTGCACACAATCAGCAAAAGCAACCCGTGAAGGCACACAGGTGGAAGAGAGAAAATGCAATAAAGAAAAAGCTAGAGTAACAAACTTTCACGTTTCTCTAATAACCTAGAGGGTCCCCGGCAACGGCGCCAAAAACTTGACATACTAGAACACAACACCAAACTGCGACCAAGCATAATCGCAATCTGGAAATGCAGTAACAGGCAAGCTCTAATTGTCAACCCGGGGTCTAGATCTACTGCTTACTACGTGTATATCTGTTATCTAGCAAACTAAGTTGATTGATTGTTGATTGAAGTAAAAGCAGTAAGAAAGCAGGAAATGGTTCGGTTATCTAAAGCAAAGGAAGAGTCACTCGGGAATGAGTCCCCCTAGCTCCTTAGTTAGGTCACAGTTGTAATTACTTTTGGTTGCTTTACTGCTGATTATACTGCAGAAGATCCGACAATGGCTTGGAATCTCTTAAGCTGACCAAGCCCTCTCAGTCAAACTACCTGGCAGACGACTAGTCTTCACCAGGATAGAACGCTGAGGCAATGAACACAGAACTCCACTACTCGAATTGGATTCCAGTACAAAGCAGTGAATCGACCAACTCTCGTATAATCGAATCACTACTACCGAATGAAGAAGCTCTAACAACCTAATCAGATTCTATCTATCTCAGGTTACAGGAGAAATCAATAAAAGATGATCATACTTCAATTGACTCAATCAAAACACTTCAATCGATTATAATCAAGCAATATCACAATCCAAATGTAATTACAATCAAGATTCCTAACACATGGAACTAGGGTTCTTCATACCCAAGTGAGAGAAAGTTCTACTCCATAGAGAGAGAGAGGAAAACAGAAATCAGAGTAGTCATACTCCTAAAGATGAGGAAAATTTGCTCTGGGATGCAATCTGGGCTTCAATGGTGAGAAATCCACTCCAAATAGCTCCTAGGGTTTGTTCTTCGCACTTTCTCTCTCTAAAACTCTGTTTTTGCTCCAAAAAGTTGACTCTCTCTCCTTTGGCTCGAATGGCCGTGTGGTTTTTTATGCGTGCCCGTGTGAGTGTGCAAAACGCCGCGTTTCACTTAAGTGGCTTCAGGTACGCTACACGGCCAAAACCACACGGCCGTGTGGATTTTAGGTGTGCTCGTGTGAGCTCCCTGGACTTTCCACCCGGCCACAAGGGGTCCCCTACACGGCCGGTGTGGCTTGCCCGTGCAATTTGGTGCCACACAGCCAGGTCACACGCCCGTGTGGGTTTTTAGGCGTGGCCATGTGGCTTTTCCAGCTTTTCGTCAAATGCTCCAACTTCGTCCAATCGGCCCCGAACTCGTGCCCAAACCTTCTTTCACGTACTAGGACTTGAAATATCACAAACAAGAACAACCTAGCATGAAATCGGCCTAAAACGCGAGAGATGAGACTCAAACGGTACAGGAATGGTGGATAAAAATATGTTTATATATCAAGTCATCAAAAGGACTGGTGGAAGGCCTTCCTCAGCAGAATGGAGAGACTGGAGTCTGCTCTACATGTTTGGTGGGCAAGCAAATCAGGCAACCTTTTCCTAAGAAGAGTCCTTGGAAGGCTTCACAAAGGTTGCAACTCCTTCATGCATACCTCTATGGTCCTCTTACATCACTGTCAAATGGAGGTAAAAGATATATATTCACATTGACTGATGATTACAGCAGAAAACTTTGGGTTTATTTCTTAACAGCTAAGTCAGAAACATTGAACCTGTTTAAGAAGTTTAAGGTTCAGCTGGAGAAGGAAACAAGCTTCCCTATGAATTCTCCCCCCCCCCCCTGTCTGTTCTAAGACATTAAATGAATTCCAAGGATTGTGTGATGAAACTGGCATCCAAAGACAGTTGACTGCCGTTCTTGCTCCCCAACAGAATAGGGTGCCCGAGAGGAAGAATATAACGATTATGAACATGGTGAGGTGTATGTTAAGAGATACAAAAGTTCCTTCAACCTTCTGGCCTGAAGCACTCACTTGGGCAACCCACATTCACAAAAGAAGTCCAATTGTGGCCAATCAAGGAAAACCCCCACAAGAACTGTGGACTGGAAAACCACCTTTTGTTTCACACTTCAGGATCTTTGGCTTTGTAGCCCATGTTCATGTTCCTGACCAGCAGAGAAGAAAACTGGAGGATAAGAGTAGTCAATACTATTTTCTGGGAGTTTCCACTGAATCTAATGCCTACAGGCTGTATAATCCTACTACCAAGAAGGTTTTCATAAGTAGGGATATCGTTTTTGATGAAGGCAAAGGCTGGAACTGGGATTCAGACGCTTCATCTGATCAAACTCAGCTACTTCAAGAAGGAAGTGATGATCTGTGGGAGGATTCAGGTACTGTGTCTGATGAAGATACTAATGACATCAATACTAATGTGTTAGGTCTTCCAAGTGGGGACCTGGCCCTCGAGTGAGGAGACCACCAAGTCACTTGTCTGTGTATGACTGCAGTTTTGCAGACACAGACTGGCAGGCTATGGTGGCAGTATCTAATGACCCTAAAACATATGAAGAAGTAGGAGTTCACTGCTATTGAGAGGAACAAGACATGGACACTAACTGACAGACCTGCACACATTACTCCTATTGGTATCAAGTGGGTCTATAAGACTAAGTTGAAAGAAAATGACTCTGTCGACAAAAGCAAGGCTAGATTAGTTGCAAAGGGGTATTCTCAGCAGCCTGGCATTGACTATACTGAGGTCTTTGCCCTAGTAGCCAGGTGGGATACCATTAGAACCATCCCAGCGTTTGCTGCTCAGCATGCCCTTCCTATGTACCAGCTTGATGTGAAGAGTGCATTCCTTAATGATGAGCTCTCTAAGGTAGTCTATGTTGAGCAACCACCTGGGTTTGTGGTTGCCGGGGAGGAGAGCAAGGATTATAGACTTCACAAGGCCCTATATGGTCTGGAACAAGCCCCCGGGGTTTGGTATAGTAGAATTGAGTCTTATTTCCTCAAGACTGGTTTTGAAAGGTGCAGCCACGAACACACATTGTTCATAAGGAAGTCTGATGCAGGTATTTGGATTTTTAGTCTCTATGTTGATGACTTACTATATACAAGTACTGATCCTATGTGCATGGTTGAGTTCAAACGTTCAATGGAGACCGAGTTTGAAATGTCCGACTTGGGGAAGATGAAATACTGCTTAGGAGTGGAGGTGCATCAGAGTGCTGCTGGAGTGTTTATTTGCCAAAAGAAGTACATCAGGGATATGCTTGAGAAGTTTCAATTTGCCAGCTGCAATTTTGTGAAAATTCCCATCTCTCCTGGAATGAAATTTACCAAGGCTGGATATGGAAACTCAGTGAACTCTACTGAGTACAAACAACTTATAGGAAGTCTGGTGTATGTAATAATCACCAGACCAGACATCATGTATGTTGTTTGTCTTCTTAGCAGGTTCATGGAAGCACCAATGAGACAACATATGCTTGATGCAAAAAGGGTATTGCGATATCTCAAGGGAACTATGGCTTATGGTATTTGGTACAAGGAAATGAAGGAAGAAGAGCCACTGTTGGGATATACTGACAGTGACTATGCAGGGGATTTGGATAACAGAAAGAGCACAAGTGGCTATACTTTCTTCCTAGCTTATGGAGTGGTTTCATGGGCTTAGAAAAAACAGCCTATTGTCACACTATCCACAACAGAAGCAGAATTTGTGGCAACATCGTTCTGTTCTACTCAATGTGTGTCGCCAAGGAGGATTCTGGAGATGATTGGCAGTGTAAGAGGAAGCACCAAGATTCTATGTGTCAATAGCTTGACAATAAAGTTGTCCAAGAATCATGTGCTTCATGGATGAAGTAAGGACATTGATGTGTGCTTTCACTTCCTAAGAGATCTATCTAAGGAAGGAGTGATTGAGTTGGAGCACTGTGGAACGCATGAACAGGTTGCAGATATTATGACCAAGCCACTGAAATTGTAAACCTTCGAGGTCTTGAGGAGCAAGCTTGGAATATGTGATGCTGAGGTGTTTGCAGGAGCAAACGAGTGATGAACTGAAGATCAGGAAGAGTCTTCAGTTCAGGGGAGGATGTTAGAAGATGACGAACTGAAGACTGACGATTTGGCACGAGTTGAAGTTTGAATGAACTTAAGTGTTGTTGTGTCGTTTTGGCTTTAGCGTTGTTGTGTCATTTTAGTTTGTGTGTCATTGAGTCTGTTGCAGGGTTCCTTTCGTGTCTTAGACTACAAGGTATTCTGAAGCTAGTCTGTTAGTGGGTAGTTTGTTAGCTACTTTTCAGGATAGTGGGATCCTAATTTAGTGGCCCTAATTCATGTATTTAGTTTCGTTTCTGATTCTAAATCAAACTGTCAAATTGCATTCCAAAGAGTTTTCACACGATCAACGCCCCATGCAGGCAACTTTCACATTTCCCTTCCTGACACAACGCATTATTAGCGTCCAGACACTCCATGATCAATGTTTGTACACACGCAAAACCCCGTGCATCTCGATGAACAACACATGTATAGTAACGCTAAACCCAAGGCCACTCACAATCATCACAACAGCTCCCGCAACCGTCAAAAAGGCCACCCAACCCACAACAGACAATTGCCAGTCCAGCGACCGATCAGCCTCTGAGACAGCGTCCCAAAGACGACCGGAGACCACAAAGGACAACTAGGGAACACGAAGCACCAACACACATGGGGTTCCTTGCTGAGTTGCTACAGTAATTTACAGTCTAAATGACCAGTAAATTGTGTCTGTCTGTACAGTGCAAGAGCCATTTGCGCTCTGTATTTTCTTAACTTAATTGTATAATTATAATAATAATTATATGTGATTTAGTTGAAACAAACGCATCAAGATGTTTCTATCCCAATAACGTCGTTACAGTTTGGTGCTTGACAAA